ATTTGGGCTGTTTCATCATGACTGGATTCATGATCAACATTTTTTGGAAAGTTTGTTACATAATGCATTACGAACTTTTCAGGGCCTTCCTTCAGGAGACATTGATACTTTTTTGATGTATATGACTACATTTTATTTTTCAAAACGTATCATGTAGTGACTTATTTTCTGGCATACAGTTCTATGAATTTGAACACATGTATAGATTCCTGTAGTCCCCATAACGATTGTGACACAGAATAGTTTCATCCCTGCAATGTCTCCCAGGCCCTACTCTGGACCTACTTTGCCAGAATCTATACCTTAACATGATCTCCAGGGAATTCTCAAGCACAATAAATCTGAGAAGCACTAGTTTAAAGGACTTGAGATAATGTTTTCAAGTTTCATGGCACAGAGCAGGCTATCAATTAATTATGGCTATTTTAAATTATTCTCTTTTATTATTAGAAGGCTTCCAAGCTCATATATTCACGTTACATTATGTGAAAAAGATCAACGAATTTATGGTTTTGAGAAAGAAAATTATACTGTCGTCAAAGCCAGACATCATCTTGCTGTAATTACAGTTCTGTATCGCTTCATTGGTCATTAAATTGTCACTTTTCCACTGTGGTAACTTCAGAAAACTTTCATGAGTTGAGATTATTGATGCCTGCTCCCTACGTGCATGTGGTTGTGCACCAGATACACAAACCCATGCACACATGCAGACATTCACACCTTAGGTTACTATAAATAGCCTTTTGCTATTATAGTAATAGAATATTCTTATGGAATATCTAAAAATAGTCTTATGAAAGATGGTGCTATAAAAGTTAATTCTCCACTTGAGCCTTTTACTAAGAAAAGCATTCTGCTGAAACAGGAGGCTGTGTGAAATGTCCTGGGCCCTCAGCCCATCGTCACTTCCCCTGTAGGTGATCTAAAGAGGATGGTGCAAAGTGGCCTGCTGAGGGTGGCCTAGGCAGGGCTGGGTCATGGTTCACGTCACAGTCTTTGCTTACTCACCTAGAGTCCAGTGTATTTGATTTACTCTTTTCTAAATATTGCTCAATTAGGAGCTAAGAATTCCATGTCTTGAGAGGACCTTGAACATTGTAGGGCATATGGGATTCATGGTCCCTCTAGTGTCATGTTAATGACCAATTTCAAGATCATATTAATATGGTAATCCATTAAACCAAAGTGAAAGTTCACACATTTGTGTGCGGTCATATTAATGGAAGGGTTCACAGTCCTCAAATGTCAGCTCTCCATTCCCCAAAAGAGGTCACTCTCAAAATTTCTGTTGATAAAGTAAAGCTAATTTTGTTAGATTTATTGCAATATGGGAAAACACCAATCTCAGAGTCACAGTGTCTCTGATTGGGGAAGTAAGGGAAAGAGGTTTATTAAGTTTCACAAACTGGGCTGGGTGACTGAAAGGCACTCTTTCAGAAGAGGAACTGGTTGGAGTTGGCCAGAGGTTATGACCAATAACTTGGGTTGGTGTGCATAGCCAGTCAAGGGTCCAGAAGAAAGTATTGATAAGAGGCTGGTATTGATAGTTAACTATTTCATCTGTCAAGCAGCTATTTCTCGGAGTAGCTATGTTATTTTTGCCTGATCCCAGTATTATTTGGCACAGAAGTGAGAAAGTGTCTTTGTGCTAGGAATATTTATCATGAAAACCAGAAACAATGTTTGTTCTGAAATTATACAAGAACACAAAGAGGAAAGTTGTTGATTTCAATACTAGTAAGCAACATCTTGCATCCTGGGTCAGTATGGGGCAGTCCTGGGCCTCCGTAGTCATCTAAGATCTGAGAGTGACAGGATACTACTGATGTTCTGCCATCCTGCTGAGATGTACACATGTACATCTGTCAGGGGGTTGTGGATGCCACGCCAAACAGAGGCATCCCTCTCAATGCTCTCCTCCATCCTCTCTCATCTGTGCTTTGCTTTGTTGCTTCGTGGGGCTGTTTTTATGAAGTGTTGCAAAAACTTGAATAGCACATCAGAGCGGAGACTTACTGTGTAGACTCAGAAAAGAAAAACAATAATCTATGAGATGAAAAATATGAATTGTGAGAAGAATGGAGGCAGTATTTAGCATAAATCACTGACAATCATTGAGTACAGTTGCATTTTCTTCTTTGAGTTTCATAGAGTGCTATGTCTCTAAGAGAAGGCTTCTGTAGATCAGAGGCCTGGAGATATGGCCTGCATGCTCTTGAAAGATCCTTCATGCTCAGCATCTTGCTCCTAAAGATTCTCTTATGGAGCCACTGGCGACCTTTGCTTGCTAGTGATGCTCAAATGTGCAATCACTGGGTATTTTTAATATTTAATGAATACTCTAGTCTCTTAAAAACCCATTTTACTAAATGCTGAACCATAGTGTTGAAAGTAAATGAAACTATCTTTGTAGACTAGAAAGAGAGTGAAAAGAGAAAAAAAGTGAAAAGGAGAGGAACATGGTGATGGGACAAGAAATGAGGACTTGTGAATAACTTGAATAACATTTAGGAATCATCTTTCCAGTACCACAAGGGCCAGCACCACAAGGGCCCTTTCACTTTATTTTTTTATATTCAACAATCTTCATTTGAAAAATAGTACCTAAAATAGTACAATCCTAATGGTAGCTCTGAAACTTCAATAAGCAATTTCAGCATCAACTAATGAACGGTGGCTAAGCTAACAATAGATCAATCAAAAGTGCTTTAAAGGAAGCGGCAGCAGCTTAATTTCTGCAGAGTCTCTGGGCATCCAGGACATGGCTACAGGGAAAAGAGAATCAAATGGCAGGTGCTCTGGACCCAAGCCCTCCTCTCTGACCTGCCTCCCTCCTGGGAGTCCTGGTAGCCCACGGTCCCCCTGGCACTTCTGGGCCCCTGTAGGCTGCAGGCAGAACCTCAGAACCCAAAGGACCTCTCAGAAACTTGGCCTCACAGTCAGCTGGCTTCTGCCTGTTGGGGTAATTTTCTTTCCAGAGCACCTGGAGTACTCTTTCAGGGAACATAGTGACCATCTAACCTTCCTGGTCCCTTTTCTTATGGAAGAGGATCGCCTTCTAAAAACTACAAATGTCTTTCTTTGATTACCAGAGCCAAGTTTTAGGCCATCTTCTTGTAGCAGTTGAGTCCTGACACATGGAAGTCAAGGTCATGCACCTTGGGAAGTCTTTGCTTGAGGTCCAAGCAGTAGGTGTCCTCCCACGGAGGCCCCATCATGCATTTTCAGTGCAGTTCAAGCAGAGCGGGAAGCGTCAGCTGCAGCTTTGGGACCTCCCTTGCTGGCTATGTCCTTGCGTCCTGCAGAGAGGCCTGCTTGGGTCAGAGTTTGGGCTTGTGCTATGGGTTCTTTACTCCTTTGGAATACTTTCAACAGTTGCATGTCTGCTGCTCCAATCTCCCCTTCATGACATTTGAAGGATGCACCTAAGTCATCATTGTCATCACCACACTCTTCAAAGGTACTCGTGGCTGGGATGCTGGGGAACCACCATGTCCTGATTTCAGTTTCCTTCCTTTGCAAAGTCCTTATCCTCCATGTGGTCTCCACTGCCCTGGAGCAGATGCAGGATGCTTAACGGAGTGTGGGCCGGGGAAGTCAGTCACCTCATGTCAACATTTGTGGCCTGTTTGACTCCTGCCTGGGCCTGCTCCGGCCTTTCCATCTTCTCCTTCTTTGAATGCAAACATGGCTTCTGTCTCACAATTTCTTAGTTGGGCTGCTCTGCAGGTTGCTGACAGTCAGTGAGGTCATTCAGATCATTCATGCTTCGCCCCTGAATATCTTCCCCACCCTGCAGTGAGGGTGCAGGATGTGCCTTGCATCACTCATGAAAGTTCAGAAGACCTCTTTTTCATACTCTTTTCAGAAGCTCACCTAGGTCCTGATGAGAAGACCTGTTTATTTCCTTTCGACCCCTCAAGCAGAGGGATTGGGGAAATCAAAGACTGGTCTCTGGCATGGGTGACATGAGGCCAGCACTGGCCTGGGATGCTGGCTACATCTTGGCTCTGGCTTTTCCTTGGAATTCACCCTGGACTGAATCCCTCTGTGCCAGCTCCTCTCTTCTGAGTGTCCTCTCCTGAGTGTGGTAGACCATAAAGGCTACCACAGCAGTGCACACTCAGATCACCTAGGATATCCATCGGGTCGCTGGCACTGGTCCCAGGATTCTGTACAACACTAGCTCTGCTGCCTATGGGGGCAGCCAGCAGCAGCTAAACAAGCTTTGTGTGGTAGGCAGTAGGCCCTCCATGGCTCCTGAGGGCTCCGTAGCTCTGCCTGCCCTTGCCAATGGCCTGTGGGCCATAACGGACCACTCAGAACCCTGTGGAGCATTCTGTGCCTAACAGAAACAAGGGCCCACCAATGGGGTAGATCATCCGTTGGGCTGGGAGAAGGTGGGGCATCACGTGTCTTAGGAAGCTGTGTCCCTGATTTTGCTGTGCAAATTGAAAGTGGCGTTACTTTTGCAGGACCTTAGGGGAGTGAAAAGAGCTCCTGGCAGCTCCTAACTCAGGCCATTCCAGGCCCCACCTGGCCCTCCTGCACAGCTGGGGGATCCAAACAGAGCCACGTTGAAGCCCTAAGTCCACACACCATCCTCTCAGGGCAGTGTGGTGGCGCATACCTGGTGGGACTCATTACCCCAATTTTAAGTTTTCTTCTGCAGCAGGAAAGCCTGGCCCTGCCTACAAAGAGTTCGTTTTTCTTGCTACATTGAGCAACCTGAAGAAAGGACTGTGTTTTCTTCACCTCCATAGCCCCAGGAGCTCGCCAATGCCCAGTCTATACTAGAGGCTCTGCTGTTGTTTGTCTTGTTTTCTTGTTGAATCTACTCTGACTTGGGACTTGTCACTTTCCTCACTTGATCTCCATATTCAGATCTGTGAACAGGAGTAAGTGGGTAAAGGTTTTAAAACCTCTCCAATGCAGACAGAACTCTGAAACCAGACCAGAAGCTGAGGCGGGGTGAATGGAGCATTTTCACCGGCATGATGAATGGGACCTACAGGTCTGGCTATGAGGGTGGTATCTTATCCCTGGAACGCCTCTGGAGACTCAGACCCTAGTTTGCAAATCAGACTCAAGAATGGTCTTAAGTGCTGTTTTGTGTGGGTCTTCTTCGTTTGTTATTTTTATGTTTTTGAGACTTTGTTATTGGCACAACAGCTTCTGGAAATCTGTTTCATGTAGAGTATGGGGGTTTCTTTGGCCGAATGGGGTGAGCACAGGCTCCATCTGCTTGCCAGCCACTGTCTGGGCCACAGCCTGTCCACAGCGTCCTGCTCCTCTATAATTTGTTCAGACATTGTGGTGTGTCTGGCCGTGCCATTTGTCCTAGGTGTGGAAACAACCATAATGAAAGCCTGAAGCCGCTGGGATGAGCAGCTGCCTCGGAATCCCGCTCCTTCCCGCTCTTGCTAAGAAGCCAGGAGCAACCGGCCAGCATCCCCTCCCTCCGACCCGCAGTCAGTGTGGGCAGCAGGCCCGGACTGGTGCCCGCTGGAAGTGGCCTTAGAAAGACCGCGTCCGACTCGGCCTCCGTCTCCCGCTCAAAGAGCCATCTTGTCGCCGCTTCACTCAGGAGCCAGCGAGCTCTTCCCAGGACCCGCTTCGCGTCTTCCCTTCACCCCGACTACCACTGGGTGGAGGCGGCGGCCTCTCTGGAGCTGCCAGGGAGCAGCGGCCTGTGGGCCTGAGGCGGGGCCGTCTGTGTCCTCTGGGCACTGTCTGTTCCGGCCCAGGAGCCTCCTCCTCGACTCCGCCCCGGCCGCCCTGGGCCTCCCTCTTTCACTTTCTTGGTGTCTTTCAGGTACAGTCTTTAGAGATGCAACCCTTCCAAACACAGGCAAGTGCAATAGACCAGGGCGCTCTCCTGTATGAACACCCCCGGGGCAGACGTCCTGGCTGCAGCTAGCGTCTAACCCACCACCTTTAGTACCAAGGCACACAACCGGAACGCTACAGGCTCATTGAATTCATGGTTAAATAACTATATATGAATAAACAGGCTAATAAGCTACATTTCCTTGTATTGAAATGCCTTTTTAGTGAAAGTGCATTCAGATGATGAAAGTAATACACACCATTACAAATTATAATAGTGCAGAGTATGTCATCTCCAATGCTATTCTTCAGTTCTTTACAATTTGGTGTATATGCTTTTAAACTTAAAAAATATTTGTATGTATTCCCACCATTTCGTTTCAGTCTTATAGGAGAAAATCAATAACAGTAATTCATTAAAATATTAATTTGCCTTTCTCTAATGTAATGAGATATTGGGTCAGCTGGTATATTTCATTTTATGATGTAAGTTGTTTTTCTGGAAGTTTTTTATCAATATTATTATTTTGAGTCATAATATTAAGATGTTCTCTCTCTGTTTATGATTCACTTCTGTCATTGAGTGACTTATTTTAAACAGTACTTCACTGTTAGTTTCCATTATCAACAGAAAAGAAGGAAGCCAGTTTTGTTGTATTTGATTGAGTCTGAGGATGATGATGGGCTGTTAGGAGGACATTGGCATAAGGAACCTCAATAAGTTTTTACTCAATTCTATGGCTTGAATGTTTGTTCCCTCCAGAAGTCGTGGAAATTTAATTGCCATTCTAATAGTATTAAGATATGATGTTCTTAAAAGGTCATTAGGTCAAAAGGGGTACAGACCCACAGGTGGGATTAATGCCATTATAAAAGGGTGAGTTCAGGCCTCTCTTGCCTCAGCCATGAGATGACCTAGCACAAAGACCCTTGCCAGATGCCAGCCCCTCAATCTTGAACTTCCCAGCTTCCAAAACTATGAGTCAATACATTTCTATTTATTATAATTTTCCCAATCTCAGGCATTTTGTTATTGCAGCAAAAACAAAGACCCTCAATTTAATAATTTTATTTCTTTTCTTTTTTCTTGTAGAGTCAGTGTGTTGCTCTGTCACCCAGGCTGGAGTGCAGTGGTATGCTAGTAGCTCACTACAGCCTTACACTCCTGGTGTCAATGGATTCTCCCACCTCAGCCTCCCAAGTAGGTGAGACTACAGGCATGTGCCACCATACCTGATAATTTTTAAATTTTTTTGTGGAGATGGGAGTCCCACTATGTAGCCCTGGATGGCCTCAAATTCCTGGTCTCAAGTGATTCTTTCACCTTTGCCTCCCAAAGCACTGGGATTAAAGGTGTGAGCCACCACACCCAGCCTAAGAATTTTATTTCTTCATAATGTGCCTGTTTTTCCTTATGTTAAGCTCTAGTTTGCAGCCTCTAAAATGGCTCCCAGTGATCCCCACTTCCCATTACTCTCGCTCTGTGTGATCCTCACCCCTGAGTGAGGACTGGATCATGTGACTGGCTTCTGACTAATAGAGTATGACCAAAATGATATGAAGTCTCTTCTGACCGTAGCAGCAGGAGGCTCTAACCTCTGTCTTGCTCACTCTCTATGGCTTTTTTTCTCTTGCCTACATTGATGAGCCCAGACTGCCAGTGTGACTATCCTAAAGAGAAGCCCATGTGGCAAGGAACTGAAGGATGTTTCCAGCCAACAGCAAGTGAGAAACCAAGTCCCTCAATCCAACAGCTTGCAAGGAATGAATCCTGTGAACAACCAGGCCAGAGACTTTAGAAACAGAACCTGAGTTGTCCACAGCCTCACCCAACACCTTGGCTGCAGCTTCCTGAGGAGCCCTGAACCAGAGTGAGTCATGGTTGGGTTTTTGACCCACAGAAACTGGGAGATGATAAATATTTTAATCTACTCAATTTTGGAGTACATGGTTATGTAGCAACAGATAATTAAATACCAGCTAATTGTCCACTGATTGCATATTCTACAATGTAGATATCTCTTTATTTCACACGTGTTTTTTTTCCAAACAATACAGCTTTTTAAAATTTCTTGTCAAAAAAGAAAGTCCAGTTTAGGTCTGATAGTATTTTTGACATGGGGAAAATAGTACAGATGCAAAAGCATCTCTTTGTGCTTCACTGCTTGAGGTGTTCAGTATATAATTATTAGCCTTGAAAAGACAGGTCTGGTTTATCTCTATAATTCTGAGAAGGTTTAGTTCTGGTTGCCCAAGTTTAGGCTAGTTAAAGGCTGTGTGGTTTAGTCACAAACGTGGCAGGACAGGCCCTCTACCCTCTGACTTTAAAAATAGAACCGAAAACAACTATCCCTGGAACAAGTAATTGAAATATCTCCAAGCTAAAACTGATTGATAGAGGAAAATTTGTGAAGATTCCTTCTAAATGTGGTACAAGGCGATTCTATGGATGCTCTAGATTCTAGAAAAAGAGGCATAAAAGAAAGGCAGGAGAGTTGAGTAAAGAAAATCAGCCTTGAAGAAAACTGGCTCCTCTTAAAAATTTTCTCAGGTTTGGGCTGCTGGGTCTGGCAGGGCCATTGTTTAGGGGTCACCTTAGCTGTGTGTATGGACCAAATGACTTTTCATTTTGTGCTAGGGTCTTGAACTTTGGAATCCATGACCAAATTCTTGAATCAGCTTAGCACTGCCAAGTGAGCCTTTCCCTTAAAACACACAATTGCTACTGACAGCAAAAGTCTAATTACAAACAAAAGTCTACATCATGAGAATGTTCTGGAATCTTAAGTGACTTGCTTTTCATGATAACAACTGCCTCGTATATTGCAAAATGTCACCTGGACCCCATGAGGGCTCTACAGAAAATATTGTAGAAAACCTAAGCATCGCATGCAATGCTCACAGTGAGGTATATCCAACTATCAATTTAATTACAACTTTATTACTTACCATTCAATTTGGTTCCTACAGAGTGTATGTTCCTTCTGGGAATACAAAAAATTATGTTCTAATTAAAGTATAATTATCCATTCAGTGCAGAAGGGCAGGGGTCACAGTCTCTCTGCATCCTCATTACATCTGAGTATTCCGGAAGATACCTCACATTCACACTCAGGCCCCATCACCTGACATTACATGTGGTATTTCTAGGAAATACAAGGCTTTAATCAAACTCTTTTATTTCAAGTTAAGGAAAGTACAATTTAAAAAACAATGCAGAGTGAATCAAATAGGGTAAGATTTATAGTAACTTCAATCTCTACATTTTTCACTACAATGCATTCTTTGTAGGTTAACATACATTGTTTGGTACAATCCTGAAATCAGTGTAATGCAGTTGACAAGATCCAGAGTTTATTACCAACAAACACAGGTATCGTTTTCACCTTTTTGTCTCCTAGTATCCAAACTGTTTTTAACAATGAGCATGCCTGGGACATTCTGCATTCCCTATGCCCTGCTTCACTCCCATTTTCTAACCAGTCCTAAGATTCATGGACATATTTTTATCTTATTGAGCAGTGTCTCTATCGTTTATTCTTTTTTTTGTTTGTTTCTGCTTCTGTGTTTTCATTTGGTGTTTGGTAGCTAATAAACAAATTGACTGAGATTCACAGGCACATTTTGGTGCCAGGATGTGACAAGATGATATAGCATATGTGTTCAGTCAGTGCCTGAGGGAGCACTTATTTCCTCATCTGGTCATATTTCCACTGGTTATATGTGCTACAGCTAAGCTTACTTTGTAATTATTTTTAATTGAAGTGAAAATTACCTCCAACCGCCTGGACGTGAGAGTGTTAAAATGTGAGAAAACAGGGTACAACTCTGTGAAAGAGAAAATGGCTTACAATGCACAGGGTTCCCGTAGCTCTGTATTTACTCAGGGAAGTATGAAAATACACATAACTGCTGCCACACCCTCAAGTATATTAGTGAAAATGAGGTATCTGCAAGTATTTCTGTTGTTTCACTCATTTCTCACCTGATAGCCATGCCCAGAAATACTCTACACACCTGTTTCTCTCCTGCGTTCAGGAGTTTTAGAACACAACCGACCACAGCCCCTTAAATATCCTCCAGGAGCTGGATTTGGGGAAAGAACAGGTTGTTGGATTTTACTCGGTGTCAGTGGGGCAGAGACTCCACCCTCAGAGACTGACTTTAAGGAGCATGGAAGCAATGGAGTTAAAATAGGAAGAGAAGGGCAAATAAAAAAAAAACAGAAAAAAAAAATATGCCCTCAGGATGTTCCCTCCCCGTCTCTCTGTCAAGCTTCTGAGCTCTTCCCTTGGGCAAGGCAGCAAAGAGGCCATGCAGGAAACAGAGGGGAGGCACAGAAAGAAGAACATGTTTCAGGGGTGCCAGTCTAAAATGTGAGATGGATCTCAGAGGGAGAAAGCTGAATATTTGTAGCAAAAGCAATGCTAAATGAATTATAGGCCTAATTTAAAGAAAGAGGCGAAATTGTAGATCTAAACATCTGCTGAATTCTAGGCAAACTTAATTAACTGTAAATGAACACAGAAAACCTGAATGAATTTTTCTTTCAAGAATAAAAAATGCATAACGAGGAAAAAAGATTTTATCTAAAGGAACAGATATCAAATTTGTCTTGGAATTTTATTGTATAAATTTTAGTGTATAGAAATAAAAATGAAATACTTAACCCATGTAAGCTCCATTAGTTACATCCTACAATCGTCTAGTTAGTACTCTGCTGGTCGACAAATAATGCTAATAGAAGAATCAAGAATAGTGAAGCTGAAGTTAAACTGATGCCAAGTAGGAAAAAAGTTCAATAGATACTGTTTTATTTATTGTCTTTTTAATAGAAAATTTCTACAAAATATTTGTTTAAAAAAGAGCATCGAAAAAATCAATAGTAATTAGCTTCTCATTTATGAGAATGAACCACAAATCATCAGACATTTAAGGAAAGAAAAGAATTATGATAATTAAGATTTATAGTAACTTGTTTTATTTAACAAAATAAAACAATTTATAGTAACTTGTTTTATTTAACAAAATAAAACAAACAAAACCAAACTTGCTAGAGGAATAATCCAGAGAGAAAGGAAAACAAACAAACATTTAACTAATTTGAATTAGTATCTTCACAGAGATTTGAGCGGTCTGGCACTATAATTACCATAAGAAAAGGTTGCTATGGAAAGCTAACAATAGGAGAATGATAACGTATGTTTGGAAATTAAAATATTGCCATACTGAAAATGTTTATAAAGGGCTGGATAATTAAGAGAAACAGCCAGAGATAGAATCAATGATTGGGAAAATGTTAAGAAACTCTTCAAAGGTGTAAATAAAAAAGGAAGAATGAGACAGTAAAAGTGAAAAGCTTAGGAACGCAGATACCCGCATCAGGGAATCCCAGAGTTCATCTAAAAGGATTTCTAGATGGAGAAAACAAAACAAAACAAAAATGAAAGAAAAATCATAAGAATAATAACAATGTCAAACATAATAAAGTAAAACATTATCTGATATGTAAAAAGTAACTGTTTACCTGTGAACCGTGTATGAATTAAAACTTGTTAAGATAGCATTAAGGTAAAAAAAAAAAGGGGGGAGACAGAATATAAACAATATAACAGTGTAAAAGATTTAGTTAAGGAAGAAGTGAAATAAAGCTAAAAATAATTTTTAAAAGGATTTATTTTAATTAGGAAAGAGACAAAAGATTGTTTCCTTTCGTAATCCTTCAACCATATTATGTAGTTCTACATAAATATTTCTACAGTGTTAATATTGTGATTGCCATATTTTAGCTTTTCATTCTCATAACCAATCTATAGGCAGATTTTTAAAGAAGTAAGTATAGTTTCAAAATGGAATGTATATGTTAGAAACCTTAAAACATAGTAAACAATAAAACCAACAAAAATTTGGGATGGTAGGAAAGAGAAAAGGAAGAAAATAGTCAAATGTGCTAGAAGGAAATGATTTAATCACACTAGAAAGCTAGTAAGTCAGTAAATATAGCTATATATAATGTATATATGTATCTATATACATATATTTACTTTTTAAATAAAAATTTTAATAAACATCAGCTCAAGGGTACATATTATTAACACATCACCATTAATGTTAACTTTGATCACATGGCTGAGTAGTGTTCATGAGGTTTCTCCACTCTAAAGTTATGTTTGTTTGTTTGTTTTTCATTTTCCATACTGTAGCCTTTGGAAGGGAGTCACTGTATGCTGCCTGCACTTAAATGCAGAGAAATGCTTTATTACCTGGGGGTGGCTTATCTATATAAATTATTTAGAATTCTTCTGCATGGAATATTTATCTATTCTGCATTTATTTATTATCCCATCATTTATTCATATTAGAATGGACATGTGGATATTTATTTTATACATTGTACTATAAGCCAACATCACTTTATTTACTTATTTTTTTGCTCAAATTGTTCCAGCATTGGCCACTAGGAGCTTTTAGTTGACTCTAATATTCATTGACATACTCCTGGCATTGTGTTTTGTTTTTGAGCACTTTCTTACTTGTTAGCACTACAAGATGTTCCAGGCTTGTCTTGTATATTTTCTGTCCTAGTCCTAGAATCAGCTTTTCTCCAAGGAGCCCTCATTTCTTTTATTGAGAGTGATATTCAAAACCAAGCTCTGGGAACTATATGTGTTCATGGCTACTGGGGTTTGTTGCTTCTAGATTCTCTCAGCTGACAAAGCAAGGGAATACATGTGTGTGTATGATCCCATCTATATATACACATCTGTGAATATTTCTATTTGTAACCATCTGTATGTTACACAGAACACGAGTTTATACTATGTCCACAGCTCTAATCCATTATCAATGAAACATCATTCTAGCCTACTTCTCTTACTTATTTGTAAATCATGGCCCCAAATAGTGAGCAACCTGGCTCCAATTATCTCCCATCCATTTACATAATTGTCCCATTCCAGCACACACATGTATAGTAGTATCAGCATTGATAATCTGTACTCTTGTGAGAAAAAACTTTATCAGCCACGGTACAGTGTTATGCACAGTGTTTTTCATTTATTTATTTGTTTGTTTTTGCCTTTAGTCTTACAGACTCCATTTTTTCCCCAAAGTTATTTAGCTTAAGACTCTTCCTCCAGGCTCCTTACCCTGGCTTTACAGCTCAGTCCCCTCCACATTTCCCCCTGTGGACAACAGCAGGGTTGGGACAGGTCCTTACACTGCCGTGTGAGCGAGTGCTTGCCTGTGAGGTCGCAGCCGTGTCATCCTAAGGGTGGCCAAGCCTCGATTTAACAACCCCTACTTCTGGCCCCCTCCTCCCACCATGCCCAGCTAGCTGGATGACCTGGTCCTGATTAACGAAATCAAGGAGCAGCTGATGGCCGAGAAGATCAGGCCACCTCACCTCAGCCTAGTCGCAGCAGCCGCTGCTAGGGCCGCCGGCACACGCTGAGAGCAGCCAGGCCGTCATCTCGCTGCCCAAGCTGCAGCAGGTTCCGGGGCTGCATCCGCAGGCAGTGCCGCAGCCCAACGTGGCGCTGCACGCACGGCCGGCCACCAGCACTGTCACAGGTCTGGGGCTGTCCACCCAGACCCCGGCTGTGAGCACTTCTGAGTCGAGCACGGACACGGGCACGGGTACCAGCACCCCGTCCACACCCACCACCACCAACCAGAGCCACCTCATCCCCTCGTCCCCCACCCTCATCTCAGGGATCACCAGCCCCCCTCTCCTGGACTCCATCAAGACAATCCAGGCCCATGGCCTGCTTGGCCCCTCCAAGTCCGAATGCAGCCTCAAAAAGATCAAGGCAGAGAACCCGGGGGATCCGCCTGTCCTAGTAGTCCCCTACCCCATCCTGGCCTCGGGCAAGACTGCCAAGGAGGGCAAGATGTACAGGTGTAAGGTATGCCTGCTGACCTTTTTCACCAAGTCGGCTATGCAGATCCACTCCAAGTCGCACACAGAAGCCACGTACAAGTGCCTGTACTGCTCTTAAGTCCTTTGCCAATGCCTCCTACCTGGCCCAGCACCTGCGTATCCACCTGGGTGTCAAGCCCTACTACTGCTCCTACTGTGATAAGTCCTTCCAGCAGCTCTCCCACCTCCAGCAGCACACCAGAATCCACACAGGCAACAGACCCTACAAGTGCCCACATCCTGGCTGCGAGAAGGTTTTCACTCAGCTCTCCAACCTGCAGTCTCACCAGCGCTAGCACAACAAGGACAAGCCCTACATGTGTCCCAGATGCTACGGGGCCTACTTGGACTCCGCCTCCCTGAAGATCCACCTCTCGGCCCACGCCATCAAGCATGCCAAGGCCTACTGCTGCAGCATGTGTGGACAGGCCAAACCTCTGAGACCTACCTGATGATGAACATGTCCAAACACATGGTGGTGGAGCACCTGGTGAGCCATCACTCACCCCAGAGGACGAAGTCCCCCTGCATCCCGGTGCGAATCTCTCTCATCTGAGCTCACTGGAGGCGCCGCCCCACCTGGCCCCCTGGCAGACACAGACCCAGGCAGCACCAGGCCCCGACTCCCTCTGGGGGCCCTCCAGGAACCACCAAGCTCTCTCACGACCTTCCCAACCTTCCAGAAAGCTTGGTCCACAGAAGCCCTGCCTGGTCCAGTCCAGGGGTGGCCAGGCCAACTGCAAGATTCTGGACTGTTTTGGTGGCATCCAAAGACGATCTCAGAGCACTTTGGAAAAAAAAAAAAAAAGCCCCTTCAGTGATGTTTCCTCATACATTTGTGATAGACTTAGATTTTGGGGGGGTCAGATTCTGTAGTCTACTCCAGGATCAGATTGAATAAAAATTTAAATTTATAAATCCACTCAGAAGAAACACCAAAAATAAGAATAATATTACCATAAAAAAATTGAGGGTGTCTGGGAAGAAGAGAAAGGATGATGTAGTAGATAAGCTAAATTTCTTTTTGGTTAGTTATTATTTCTCTTGTTTTATTATTTTGCTAGTTATTATTATGTATATTTCAAACAGGAAAATACAAAAAAGGTATTTTGATAAATGGTATTACCTACCACTTAGATTTTAAAATTGTTAACATTTAGATATACTTCTTTAAAACTTAAAAAATTCTTGTTACAGAAAATTCTAAACATAAAATAGAAAACCTCTATATACCCATCACTCACCTTCAAAAATTATCAATTCATGGCCAGTCTTACTTCATCTATATTCCCACCCATTTCTCTTACCCTGTATTATTTTGAAGCAAATTCAAGGTATCATGTCATTTCAGCTATAATTATTTCAGAACACATATCTAAAAATAAGGGTGGCTAAAAACATAGTCAAAATAATATGATCACAACCAAAAATGAGCAATAATTTATTAATATAATTAAAATTCAGTTAGTGTTCACATTTTCTATTCTCTCATAAATGTCATTATCTAGATTTTTCTTACCATGTTTGAGCCAGGATCCAAATAAAATGCACCCATTGGTCTTGATGATAGGCTCCTTACATATTGCTTAGCCTTCATCTCTCTCATTTCCCCCCCCCGCTTCCAATTCATTGTTGAACAAATCTGCTCATTTGTTCAATATCTTCCCACATTCTGGATTCTGATTATTGTCTTCAGGTGGTATCAAATTTAACATTTAACATATAACTTGTAGTTGGATCTAGAGACTTGAAAAGTTTCAGATTCTTTATTTTGACAAATTAGAGTTGCTGATGGACTTTTCCATCAGAAGGCACATAGTCTCTGACTGCTTTCTTTTGTGATATTGGCTGCTCTGATGTTTAATATCTAAATACATTAATTATTAGGGTTATAAAATTGCACCATCCTAATTCCATTTTCCCTTATCACTCATTAGCTGAAATATACATGTAAGAAGAAACTCTGCTTCATCTACTTTTTGGCTAGCTAGTGATAGACTCCATATAGGAAATGCAAAAAAGTTCCCCTTTATTTACCAGTTTTCAAAATAGTGACTTGATTTACTTATATGCCACATGTCTTGTCCCTCATAATAGTCCTGTCCAAAGTTTAAACAAAAAAATAACAGAATGTATATTTGTATTTTATTGAGTTATAGGTATCAACACCAAAAACTGAAGGTAGAAAATGTTGATAGTGGTTGTCTCTGGAGAAAGAGGCTGTGGATGGCAGGAAAGAGGCTATTACTTTTTATTCAGGTCCTTTTTAACATGTATGTTTTTAAAACAAATGCAGATTTTACTACTACTGCCAAGTCTGACCAGCAGACTCTGTCTAAGCAACAGATGACAGGAGTACATAGACACATGGGTTTTGCCAGGGTGAATGTGGCCAGAGGATCCCATGGCTCACAGATTTCAAAGAGGGAGTCTGGCAAGTGAAGCCCCCATATGCTGGAGAGGTTCATAATTATTTTAGTGCAGATTTAATGACAAAGGTCTCAAGTAAACACCATTAGTGTGTAATTAACATTGCTGACCCCCCAAGGAGAGAGCTGTTCTGCATGCAGATGATCAGTATTTGGTCTTAGGACAATATGAGTAAATAAGCTATTTGGATAAACTCCTCTACA